TGATGGTTTGAAAAGTTCGATGGACATCAGGCCGCGTGACAAACGAGGGTTTCAGACGTAGACGGTTGTAAGGGTTACGTCCTTAGGGCCTCAGGGCCTTAGGGCTTCGGGCTAAGGGCCTAGGGATTAGTGCGATACGAGTTAGGCCTTAATTTACGGATTCGGGATGGTTGGCCAGGTCTGGGAGGTGGGAATGTGAGGGTGTAATTGTTCGGGTTCGGGTTCGGGCTGCGGTCCCAGGGGGGGACGAGTGGGGGGAGGACCCCCCCCTCTCGTCGTCGTCATCATCGTCGTCGTCGTCGTTGTCGTCGTCGTCGTCGTCGTCGTGGTCGTCGTTGTCGTCGTCGTCGTGGGCGTCGTCGTCGTCGTTGTCGGCCGGCGCCGTCGTCGTCGTCGTCGTCGTCGTCGTCGTCGTCGTCGTCGTCGTCATCGTCGACGTCGTCGCCGTTGTCGTTGTCGTTGTCGTCGTCGTTGTCGACGTCGTCGTCGTAGTCGACGTCGTAGCCGTCGTCGTCGTCGTCGGCTGGCGTCTTCGTCATTGTCGTTGTCGGCGAGCCGAGAAAAATACGAATGGTTTCCCACCCCCTTCCATCCGCGTTGCCATGTGACGGGTAGACGTGAATGCTGGCGCCCCACCTGGATTGCCACGTGTCGACTACAGTAGACTTGTATCATTATTTTGTTCGCGATCGTACGTTGCCACGTTGCGCTTGTTACACAAGCGCAAATTGTTCCCCAGGCGCTGCCGCGTGAGGAGTAGTGTGGGATTGTATGCGTGTGATTTTTGGCGGCACGATGCAACAAATTCAGTCCACGATCGAAAACTTCCGACTGGTCTGCTACATTTTCCGTCGGATATTCGGGAATTCATCGAAGATCTCGGGCGTGCGACAAGGCGGGCGCACGGGCGGGGCGGGCGGGCGGGCGGGCGCGGGCGGGCATGCGGGCGAGCGGGCGCGGGCGGGCGGGCAGGCGGGCGAGCGGCGCGCGCGGGCAGACGGGCGGTCGCGCGGGCGGGGCGGGCGAGCGAGAGGGCGCGCGGGCGGGCGGGCGCGCTGGCGGGCGCGTGGGTGGGCGGGCGGGCGGCCCGGATGGGCATGCGGGCGGCTGGGTGGTCGAGCGGGCGGGTGGGCGTCCGGGCGGTCGCACGGGCGGGCGGGCGGGGGCGAGCGGGCGGGCGAGCGGGCGGGCGGGCTGACGAGCGAGCGGGCGCACGGGCGGGCGGTCGCGCGGACAGGCGGGCGGGCGGGCGGGCAAGCGGCCGGGCGCGCGGGCGGACGAGCGGGCGGGCGCGCTGGCGGGCGGGCGAGCGAGCGGGCGCGCGGGCGAGCGTGCGCGCTGGCGGACGAAGAGGGCGGGCAGGCGGGAGCGCGGGCGGGGGGGACGAACGGGCGGCCACTTGACGAGCAGAGAAACATGTGATTTGGCCCTCCTGCGTTGCCATCTGACGAAGGTACAAGTGGACTCGTTCCGTATCCTGCACTGCCATGTAGCAACAAAGAAGCGTTCGCCCTCCCAGCGGTCCACGTGATGCGTAGAGCAGCATAAGCTTGGTTTGCGCTCCATATGTTGCGACGTAACACCTAGAGCAGCAAAGGGCACAGCCTTCTCCAAACGATGCCTGAGGGATAACGCGGGATAGTGTTGCGGATCCCCTGCGCTACCACGTACGAGGGCTGCCAAATCATGAGCAGAGCAGCCATTTACTTGTTCTCGCGCTCTGCGGTCCCACGCGACGAGTACAGTCGTCGCCGTCCTGGTCGGTCGGCGTCGTCATCATCGTCGTCGCCGTCGTCGTCGGCTGGCGCCGTCATCGTCGTCAACGTCGTCGTTGTTGTCGTCGTCGTAGTTGGCTGGCATCCTCGGCGTCGTCGTCAACGTCGTCGTCCTCAACGTCGTCGTCGTCGTCAACATCGTCGTCGTCGTTGTCGTCGTGGGGCTGGCATCGTCGGCGTCGTCGTCAACGTCATCGTCGTCGTGGTTGGCTGGCGTCGTCGGCGTCGTCGGCTGGCGTCGCCGGCGTCGTCGTCGTAGGCCGGAGTCATCGGTCGGCGTCATCGTCGTTGTCGTCGACGTCTTCGTCCTTGTCGGCTGGCGTCGTCGTCGTCGTCGTCGTCGCCGTCGCCGTCGTCGTCGTCGTCGTGGCCGTCGTCGTCGTCGTCGTCGTCGTCGTCGTCGTCGTCGTCGTCGTCGTCGTCGTCGTCGTCGGGGGGGTCTCCCCACAAGGGGGGTGCAAGGGGGGGGTAGCTGTCAGGAGTCGAACGAGGAAGGGGGAGGGGGGGGGGCTTCTGGCAGAGATGCCAAAAAGGGCGGGGGAGGGCCTCGGGAGCTCGAGACAAGAGAGGGAGGGGAGGGGGGGGTCTGGCTGGGGAGGTCTAAGGAGGGGGGCGAGTAGCTTGCAGAGGCTGCGGGGGACTGGGGGGGAGGGGAGGGGGGCTGGGGCGGAGGCTTCCGGCCGGGGAAGCTCAAGGGGGGGGGAGGCAAGGGGGAAGGGGGGGGGCGGGGAAAGTTTCGTGGAGCGAAAATCAAGGGGGAGGGGGGCTTCGAACTGAGGATGTGCAGGGCGGGGGAGGTAGCTTGCAAAGGTCGCAATTGGAAGGGGAGGGGGCTTCCGGCAGGGCTGCCAAGTGAGGGGGGGCGGAAAATGGGGAGGAGGGGGGGGCATCCGACAGGACATGTCCAAGGGCGGGGGGGTAGCTACCCCCTTCCCCACTTGGAGCTGTCTCCCGTGGCGCGCTCTCTCCTATGTAATATGTGCTTTCAGTTTGCACGTTTACGTGAAGAGTATACTCTACCCATGGAGGCTGTTGGCTTGCCACAGGGGTGCACGGCGTGCCACATGTTGGGCTGCTTTTGTCATTCTTCAATTCTTGCAATGGGGTCTCGGCGGCTTACTCTGGCTACCCGGAAAGCTTCGGGCGACCCGGGCAAACAGAAACAAAAACTTGCCAAGATGGCGCCAGATATCTCCAAGATGCCTGCAAGACGGCGAAGATGACCCCAAGAGAGCCACCTCCGGCCTGAAAATGTCTCCGACATGTCCCCAAGATGCACCAAGACGGCCCAAGATGCACCCAAAACGACCCAAGATGGCCCCAAGGTGGCACAACATGTCCTCCAGACGGCCTCAGAAGCCCCCAAGACGCCCCAAGAGGGCTCCAAGAGAACCTCCACGGGACAAAAAGCCGGATTTTACTTAGGTGATCTAGTGACTTTAGCATTCTCGCCTTTTCGGGCTTCCGACGCTCCAAGACGGCCACATTGACCCCAAAGATCGCCCATGTAGCGGGCTCCCGCAAGACGGCCCAAGAGTCCCCTAAAATGGCACCAAGACGGCCCACAGACCTCCAAGACGGCCATCAAGCGCTCAAAGAGGGACACACGACTGCCCAGAGAAGGCCCCACGACTGCCTTTAAAGGCCAAGATATCTTTAGAGGCCCCCAGAAGCTCCCAACCCAGAGGCCCCGAAGAGGCCCGAGGAGGCCCCCAAGAGGCCCTAGAAGCTAGAAGCCCCCCTAGAGGCCCCTCAGAGGGCCCCAAGAGGTTCCCAGGAAGCTCACAGGAGGCCAGAAGAGGGCCTCAAGAGGCCTCTTCTTCTTTTTCTTCTTATCCTCCTTCTTCTGAGTCTTCTTCTTCTTCTTCTGATTCTTCCTACTCCGACTCCTCGTCCTCCTTCTCCATCCTCTCCTCCTCCTCCTCCTGTCCCCTCCTCTCCCAAGTGTCGCTCGATGGGGTTCCACAACGGCTGGGGGAGCACACAGTCCAATGGATTCGCAAGACTTCGACCCAACGATTGGCCGCATGAGCGTTTAAGAAAAGCAGGGGGCGACGATGATTCGCCGTAGGCGTCTTCGATTACCCCACACATGCCTCCAAGAGGCCCTATCCCCGCCAATGACGGTCCCAGGTCAATCCACATTACGTGGTCTCCACATCTCTCACTCCGCATTATCCGCCTCCGCCTTCTCCTGACAGAAGCCTACGAAATCCCCCGAGCACCAATAAATATCCCACACAACTTTCGGGTACTCTGGACTCGTGCTTCCTGTCGTGCTCCTTGTCCTCGTCTTGCCTCCATGCTTTCCTGTGTCCCCTCTGCAATCCAGTCCCACCTCTGCTGCTTACTGACCAGACCCGCAGCAGAAGTAACCGCCAACTTCGGAGAACGCGCCTCAGCGCCCTGTCGCTTGCCGAAGACACGAGGCGGGACACCACGGACCACCTGGGAGGCTTTGGGCCTGGCGGCCGCCGCATACGCAGGGGGAGCGAGGCGGTACACCACGCACCAGGGACGCTTCGGGCCCGGCGGCCGCGGTATGCAGAGCGGGCGAAGCGGGCTGTGAAGCCTGCTCTCGCAATCTACCGACCAGCCTGCCGGGTGGGGAACCGACCATAGGGGAAGCCAAAATGTGCTTATACCGCTACTCCCTGGACCTCCTGGGGTGCGTTTGGACCAGGGTTTCGAGGCGCATCCACCGGTGGTGACGAGGGCCTCCGAGGATGCCCCAAAAGGAGAGAACGAGAGGAACGTAGCGTTATGGGTACCCTCCTCCGAGACCAGATCGTCCTTCTGAGGGCGGCCGCCACGCTGCCAGGGCTCGGCGGCGAGCCCGGGGGGGAAGTGAAAAGGGGCGGGCCTTCTCAGAAGGCTCAGAAGTCCCCCAGCCTTCTGAGAATTCTAAGCCTCCACCGAGGACGCAGAAACCTTCTCAGGCCGGAGCGCTTGTGAGAAACCAAACTGCCTTCTGAGAAGGCCTCCTCCTTCTCACTCGGCTACACGCAAGCAAGAGTGACCCTAGGCAAGACTGACATTTGATGCGCGGACTGGGGGGCGCAAGGTGGCCAAATCCAAACACGCAATCAGCCGCTATATCGCGCTCAGCGGTCGGGGGGACCCCGAAGAGCTCGCACCAAAGGTCACTCCGGCGAAGGGTCACTCTTGCGTGTTGTCGACTCGTTTCCCCCACCCTTCGCTCGCCGCCGCAGGGCGGGGCGTGGCCTTCGCTCTCTTCTGGATGGAGTCCACCAGCAGGTTGGTGACCTCCTGCGCACCGAAGCCCCCGCCGCGCGGGCAGGGGGGGGGGGGGGTCGAGTGAGGCGGGAGGGGCCGACGGAGGGGGGGCCCTCCGCATCCCACCTCCTCCTCCTCCTCCTCCTCGCCCTCCCACCTCTCTCCTCACCCTCGTCCTCATGCAACAAAGGAGCAGAATGAGTGCACTTCTGGAGCTGGAGCGCCTGTGCCACGGCACCCAGACTCTCTTTCTTCGTTTTGCCCACCACGTCTGGCCTGGAACCCCACGGACCCCAAGCCATCTGTATCAAAGGGCCTCCCGCCTCCCACCTCCTCCCACCTCACTCCTCCTCTGCGATACTACGTTGAGCGGACTTAATCCTCGGGGTTGTCGCGTACAGAAAACAAAAACTCGCCTGAAAGTGCCAATCTAGGCCATGGGGCCAACGAGTTACGTCTGGCAGGCGTCGCAGAAAGTGAAGAAGGCTGAACTGACATGGTGAAACACTGCATGCCCGTGAGGGTACAGAGTATACGCTTGCCAGGCAGTGCTGGAGTGAGGGAGGAAGTGCGAATCGCGAATATCGGAATAATCCTCCTCCTCGTCTTCCTGAACCTCCGCCTCCTCCTCATCCTCATAATCACCATCACCATCTTCATCATGTTCCTCCTCCGTCTCCTTCTCAGTTAATTTTCCTTGTGAATGACTCCTCCCTGTCGCAACCCAAGGCTAGACAGAAGGGCGGGCTGGGCGTTTCGCCTGAGATTTCTTACCACTTATGAGCCTGAAGCTTCAAAACTGACAACAGCTTCACACATGGATGGCGGGTCGCTTCCGGAATGTGGCTCTCGCCTTAGCGCCGCGCGCACTCGTTTAACATATTCTAGAATTTCACGGATTGAGGGCGGGTCGTTTTCAAAATGTTGATCTCGCCGTAGCGCTGCACATATTCGTTCTATGAAAACTGCAGGGGCTTCACGGATTGAGGGCGGGCCGTGTTCATAATGAAGCTCTCGCCGTAGCGCCGCGCACATTCGCTTTGTAAAGCATGGAAGAGTTTGACGGATTGGGGGCGGGTCGTTTCCAAAATGTGGTTCTTGCCGTCACTGCGCACACTCGTTTTCAACATTTGCAAGAGCTTCACGGCTTGAGGGCGGCTCCTTTTCAAAATGCGGCTGGCGCCTGAGCGCCGCGAACGTTCGTTTCAAATATATACAAGAATTTTAAGCTCTCAATGCTTACGAACCAGAAATTGCGTTTGGGAGCGATTCAGGACTGTCAGGGCGCGACGGTTCTGTGATTCGCGATGTTGAAGTTCCACTGGTTTTCTGGCACGACTCAGGATCGTCCAGACGCAAAAGTCTGATGACTCGCGGCGTTGAAGTCCTGAGAATGGTTTTGGCAAACTTCAGGATTTTCACAAGTTTGTCCCCCAACAGGGCGCTTCCATCAGGGGAACTGAACCCGTGAAGAGGGAGCTTGGAGGGAGGGTGTATTCCAACATCGTTGATGAGTCTTGTGTTTGCGCTGGTCCTCCGCCTCCTCCTCCTCCTCCTCCTCCTCCTCCTCCTCCCTATCCTCATCCTCATCATCATCCTCATCATCCTCCTCATCATCCCGCTTCCTCCGCCTCACACCTCCGCCTTCTCCCCCCGTCGTCTCCAATTCCCACCTTCTTCTCTTCCTCCCTTCCCTTCCCCGGAGCGCCGCCTCCGACTGCCGTCAGGCGCGAGCGACCGACGAACGACGCAGCTGGCGAGGTGAAGCTCGCCCGCCTCCTAGCGACGCATCGAGGAGGACTGCTACTCCTTCGTCCTTGTGCGGTCGCAGAATATATCACTTCCCCCGCGGTCTGCGAGCAACCAGGAACGGTGTCTCTGTTTCATGTCCTGCCCCTCGTAGCTCTTGCGCGTCACTGCCTTGCGCGTTGAGGCGTGGTAGAACACCAAGTGCTGTCTGATAGAAGTGACAGATGTCTCCTGAGGGCCCCCCCCCCTCCCCAAGGCCAGGCGCGCCTCCGAGGCTCCCCCAGAACTCTCTGAGGCTTCCAAGACGGCTCAGGAAAGCCTCGAAGACTGCCAAGATGGCCCAACATTGCCTCAAGAGGCACCCACCAGCCCCAAAGAGTACAACACGAGACACAAAAGGAGCCCCAATTTAATTCCAAAACAAAAAATGAAGAGCAACCGGCCCTCCAGAATACCAAAATCATGCAAATCACAATGGGCGTCCTACGGTTTTGAAGATGATTTTGGGTGCTGGGCTTCTCGGCTCAAGATGGTTCCAAGAGAGCCTATGATGAGCTGAAGAACGCTCAAGAGAGCTCCATGAAGGTCCCACGGGGCCTCCCAGGTGGCCGAGGAGGGCCCAAACAGAGCCCAGAGAAGGTCCAGGGACGCCGCAGAGAGTCCCAGTACGACCCAAGAAGGCCCTGCGAGGGCCCTAGACAACCCCACGAGACGCCCCAGACGGCAAGCAGTGACTAGCATGGCCCAAGAGGGTCGCAAGACAGCCCAGAGGGTCCCCAACAAATTTTCTGGAGCACCGCAAGCGTGTCCCAGACGCTCGAGGGCCATATGATATCACCTCTGACCGGTCGCCCGGCTCTTTGGCAAACAGCGCGGCGCCCTTTGCGCGAAGGCCGCTTTGCGCAGATACGCGCACTTGAAACTCGTCACGAACCCGCGGCGCCGCCGTTTGCCCCGAACGAAAAACAATCACGCAGAAGCTGGCAACGAGACATTTGCACTGGCGGTGGCGTCGCGAACGAACAACTCCACGCGCGCTACACCACTCCATCCAATACTTTAGCACGCGCGCGGCAGCGCAGAAAGCCCGCGAACGCTGGGCCGCCGACGCGAGGGCGCGGCACTGGCGAGGCGCGCGCGCGTGCAAAAGAGCGCGGCTGAACGAATCGCTCCACAACCGAGGGGGGGAGCACGAGCAATATTGGCGCAACGGCGAAATTAAGACGATCTTGGGCGTCGTCGAAGAAACGCTTGCGACGCAGCGTCGCATTTGGCCCCGCTACCACTGACGGGGCGCACCCCGCAAACACACAGCGCAGTACCCGCACCAGCGCTGGGCTCGTTGCCCAAAGGCTTGGCGAAGGCGCGAGCAGGGCTTGGAACCAAGGTTGCAAATAGGCGTGCTGAAGCTCGGCGACAGGGGGAGCGGGCGATAGAGGGGGAGGGCACAGAGAGCAAGGAGGGGGGAGGGGGAAAAGGGCAAAAAGGAAGCGGGCAAGGAAGGGCGAGAACACATGGGAGAGAGGGAACGAGGACAGCAAAGGCAAAAAATGGGGGCGAGGGAGGGAGTGGGGGAGAATGAGGGGGGGAACAAGGGGAAGCGGAAGACGAGGGAGGTGAATGGAGGGAAGTGGGAGGAACGAAAGGAGGGAGGAAACATGAAAGCGGGGGGTCGCAGGGCGCCTACTTGACAACGCCCGCTCCGGTCCCGACAGGGCGCTTCCTTGACAATGCCCGCTCCGCTCCCGACAGGGCGCATACTTGACAACGCCCGCTCCGGTCCCGACAAGGCGCCTACTTGACAACGCCCGCTCCGGTCCCGACAAAGCGTTTCCTTGACAACGCCCGCTCCGCTCCCGACAGGCCGCTTCCTTGACAACGCCCGCTCTGGTCCCGACAGGGCGCATACTTGACAACGCCCGCTCTGGTCCCGACAGGGCGCCTACTCGACAACGCCCGCTCTGGTCCCGACAGGGCGCATACTTGACAACGCCCGCTGCAATCCCGACAGGGCGCATACTTGACAACGCCCGCTCCGCTCCCGACAGGGCGCATACTTGACAACGCCAGCCGCGGCTTTCAGCGCATAGCGTGCGCCACATAGCTTGCGCAACGGAACTCGCACCACACAGATTGCACCACATAGGTTACGCCGCACAGCTTGCATCCACATGGCTTGCGCCACATCGCGTGCAAATCATATCTTGCACCACCTAGCTTGCGCCACAGAACTCACGCCTCGTAGCCTGCACCACATCGCTTCGGACGCATAGATTGCACCGCGCAGCTTGCGCCACATAGATAACACCACATAGTTTGCACCACGCGATTTCCCTCGCATAGCTTACACCACATAGCTTGCAACATGTAGCTTGCACCGCATAGCTTGCGCCATGCGAAGGTAGCAGCCTGGAATCTGGAGCACCGTCGGGACCCCCGGGGCCATCCAGAAACCACCCCTCGGGCCACCCGTGGGGCCATCCAAAAACGCCCGCGGCCCCCCCCCGCGGCCATCCAAAAACTGCGCCCGGGACGCTGGAAAAAAACCTCCCGCCAACAAATCCGCCAAAAATTCGGCGAAAAACCATTTCGGATTCCATCGCCAATATCTCTCCTCCAATTTTTTAAAAGCAGGAATCCCGTCATAAGAAAAAGTGGCGGAGAAATTGGCGGCCGTCCCCCGGGGCGCTTGCGGGGTCCCCCGCGGGGGAGGGGCGGGAGGGTGGAGGGGGAGGGCCGGTGGAAACCGAGGGAGGAGGTGGAGGGCGAGGGAGCGCGAGGGGGAATCGAGGGTAAGGGTGGAAGGTGAGGGAGGGGGAATGAGGGAATATGTGCGAGGATGGAAAAGCGGACGGAAGGTGAGGAAGGATGGGGGGCGGGGTGGGCGGGAGGAGGCAGGGCTAGTGAGATGAGGGAGGGCGGGGCGAAGGAGACTGGGTGAGGGCGGAGGGTGAGGGAGGGCGGAGGGCGGGGAGCGGATGTGGGGGGGCGAGGGAAGGCGAACGCATGGCGCGGAAGAGGACAGGGGAGGGCGGAGGGGGGGTCAGGGCGGGGGAAGAAGGAGAAAGGGGGGGCGAGGGAGCGCGGGGGAGCGAAGAGAGGGAAGGGAGGAGGAACAAGGGAGGTGGAAGATAAGAAGAATAAGGAGGGGGGCAGGAAGACGGAAGCAGGGATAACGAGGGTGAAGGAAGGAGAGACGAGGGACCGCGGAGGGGGGAAAGTGGTTGATGGGGGGGCGGGGCAGGGCAGGAGCAGGCGGAAGGGTGCAGGAGGGGTAGGGAGGGCGGAAAAGGGGGCAGGCACCGGGAGAAAAGGCGCAGGAGGAGGGAAGAGGCAGGAGAGGGGACCACGTCGTAGAGACACCTGGGCTCTTGGGTTTCCTTAGGGCCCCTTAACGCTGTCCTTCGGGACCCCTGGGTTTCCCAAAGGATCCCTCGGGGAATTCTATGAGATTTCCGTCAATGCCCACGCCTCCCCGCGCAGACGTTGGGGAAGCGAGGGGCGACGTTCCAGAGAAGACAAATAATCACCCCACCGACTGGTGAGGGAGGCCCCTGGGGGCTCCCCCGCTGGACTCTGGACGCCGGCGGTCGCGCCGAAAGGGCGGGGGCGCGTCGAAACGAGCGCCCGGCGATGGGTAGGGGGGACAGGATCGTCACGGTTTGGGGCACCCGCGCAACGGACCGACGGTTCCCCCTGGGCGACGCTGACAGGGCGCTCGCCGAGACGAAAGAGTTCGCCACCCACGCGATTCGGCCTCCCAGCGATTGAACGAAAGCCCCAAAAAAGTCCGGAAAACAGGGCGCGAAGAAGGACGACGGAAGGAGGACCGACGCGAGGCGTCACGGCCGCCACCCAACGATCAAACGAAGAGGATGATCAAGGATCAGTCCGTCGGAACCTCCGAGCACGCTCGCGCAAAATCAAGGCAGCTATACTATTACTTTGTATCGTGGGTTCTGGGAGGTAATACGGAACTGGGCATCCCAATATTAGAAAAGAGCTGCCACGCCCGTCGGTCGCCGCGTCTCCCAAGGAGCGGGGCGTCGGGGGTGCTGCGAAGGGAAGTTGCCCGGCAACAAAATATGTAGCCGCGGACTGGGCCCGCACGAGGGCCCCTTCCAGGCGGGCGGCTCGCGGGCAAGATGGGGCGGCGCCCCCTGCGCGCGCAGCGACAGGGGGGAATCGAGCGTGGGAGCGGCGGGATGCCGCGGGAGGGGAGGGAGAGGACAAACAGCTCCCCTCCTCCCGCCCGCCATCGCCCTTGGCCCACCCTACGCCCCTCTTGGGGAGGACAGAACTCTCCAGTTGTGGCGACGGAGCAACACATGTGAACATCGCGCATATTCATGGGCTGGGCGACGCAACGCGGCGGTGGCCCGACTTCGGCCTGATGGATTTGGATCAAAAAGCGCGTTACAAGTTGAACGCAACGTGGAGATCGCGCCAAATCTGGGGGGGGCAAGCGGGCCCTCTCCAACCGCGGATCTACGAATATCAGAAAGAAAATAAAAACATAAAAATTGACCTCCAAACTTTCTGCTACTGGTCAGAGCTGTTCTGCTAAGCTTTCTGCTATGTTGCCGTGCCCATAAGGGATGTCAACGAGGCCCTAACATTAAACTCCACGACATGTGCGCCCGTTTGGGGGTCACCAGGCGCGCACCGCAACGCATCTTTTCTTTGATGCATGTATTCATTTTAGTCACTGCCGGACAGCGGAAAGCGGGATGGCCGCCGCGAAGGATTGGGCGGTCGTGGTGACGCGACATGGGCCAGGGCGACACGAAAGCCACATCCCGAGCGCCCGCGGACCGCTCACGCAGCAGTCGCCGCCGCCGCGGCCGCCGCTTGCGGCCCGCGCCGCCAGCACGCTGGGGATGCGTCGGCAGGCGTCGGCGGGGGGGGAGCGTCGGTGCCCGCATGTGCGGCATGGGGTTCGCTGCCAGCGTGGGCGGCGCGGGGGTCGGGAGCGGCGTGGGTGGCGCTGGAGTCGGGTGGCGCGGGCGTCGAGGCGAAGGCGGTGTCGTAGCAGCCTGGGTCGAGGGTCGCCTTGGCATCCGCGAAGACGGCGCCCTCCGTGCCGGTGAGCAAGATGTAGCCCATCATCCCTTGGTCCTCGTGGGCAAGAATGCAAAACGATAACGATTTTACCGGTGAAGACATCGGTGTTCATCGGGCCGGTCACGTCCACTTTGGGCCCACCCCCCAGGCTGCCGAGGAAGAGAATGTCGTGCCAGTCTCCAGCTTGGACGTAGCCGTCATCGAAGAAGTTCCACCCATCCATGTCTTGGACCTGGAACGGGTTCACGTAAGAGTGCAGCGGGTGGTTGCCTACCCCATTGACTGCTATCTCATAAACAGCACCTGTTACAAAGCTCGTCGGTGCTGTCCAGGAAGCGATTCCCCCCGCACACTCAATGCTCGCTTAGTTCATGCTGTTGCCAGTCCCGTCCCAGGTCACAGACATAGCACCAAGATTGACGGCTAAATTGCCCGATTGCCCGCTCGGAATTGTGGCCTGCCGCAAGTCAGCAAGGTAGCACGGGCGGTCCAATGCGGTGGCCTCCAAAGCCTCAACCGAACCGCCAGCCGTTTCCGTGACGGAGACCGTGAGAAGACAACATCTGCAACGTTCATGCCAATATTACGAGGACCTTGGCCACCCTGGCCCTGACCATCCGCCGGTGGCTGAAGCCTGCGCGCACCCTGGCGCACGCGCAGGACATGACAACGTCCGCCCGAGAACCAGGATAGAGGTATATTGTATGAATCGCTATCGGGATTTCGTTAAGATATATGCCGTCCTTGGCAAGCAGCTGCAAGTCACAAGCGGCGTCTCCGTCCACTGTCACCGTGAACGTCTGCTCCACTGCTGCGTAGATTATGCGCAAGCAGTTCCACACGTGAGAGTCGATGGTCATGGTCCGCCCGAGCTAGCCGTTCACGAGGAAGACATTCGTGTCGAGACCAGTAGCCGCCGCGTCGGTCGCCGCCGTTTCCAGGACGGTGGACTGCGAGTCTATGGCGAGATCCTGCAGCGTGACCAAGTTATGGCCGGCCGGTGATGAGCAATATTTTCTCGACCATGTGGCTGTACACCTCTGGCAAGTAGCCCGCGGGGTCGTCCACAGTGAACACACCAGCTGCGCCACCACAAGCCTGAAGAGAGGTGGCGTGGTGGAGGTGCGGGTGGTACCAATGCGTGCCACCCATGTGGTAGTCTGGGATGCTGAACTCGTACTGTTTCGAGCTGCCAGGGCTGATCGAAGCAAACACATAGTCACTGGCGTACGTTAGCTCGTTCGAGCCCTTGGAAGACACGTGCAAACCATGCGCGTGGAAGCTCGTACTATCGGCTTTGCAAAACTCAGTCCCAGTGACGTCGCAGCCAACACTGTTAGCGCTCAGTTAAATCATTGACCAAGGTCACCTGGAAAGTCTCGCCAGGTTTCACGCGAAACGCGTACCCTGAGTATAAGTCCTTGTCTTGAACCCGTACGCCCCGCCTGCGAAATTATTTTGTGCCAGCGTCAGCGTGTGCCATCCATCTGCCGCCTGAGCCTCTGAGGGGAACGTGAGCTCGACGGTGGTATCAGCAGCACATCGGAGCAGGACTGCTGCCACACAGGAAGCGAGCTGCGGCATGGCCGAAAGACTGCCCCAAGAGAGCCTCAGATGGCTTCGAAACGGTCCAATAGAGCCTCGAGACGGCTCCAGATGCCCTCTTTTCGTTGGAACAGCAGCTCGGCGTGCGCCCGACTTGGCTTTCGTGCTTCGCTTGTGCTGGAATGAATTGAGCCAAAATGGCTACGAAAGCCCAGAGGGTCCCAAGATGCCCCCAAGGCGGTCTCACAGGGGCCCGAGAGAGCCCTAATACGGCCACAGTAGCACCTCAAGGACGAGAGACGCGAGGCGGACCTCTCGGCGGTGCTCGAAGCGTCGCTAAGCAGAGTGCTGCGCCGGCACAGCGGCGGGAACTTGCAGGCAGCTGGAGATCCTGCGCCCCTTGCCCGTCCCTGTCCTTTCCACTCATACTTCACACAAGATGTCCTCGTCCTCCTCCCCTCACCAATGTCCTCTATGTGCACACTCAGTGAGGCATGTACTTTGTCCCCTTTCCCTCCCCCATCCCTCCGACTGGCTCTCCTGGCCCACTGTATGGCCCTCCCTACCTGCGTACCCGCATCGGATACTCTTCCAACATTGTGGACAGAAGTAAGGCAAGCACCGAAACTCGTCAGTTACCTTAAAACCGTGGGCCGTTGAAAGTCCATCGGTTGAGTCCTCTGAAGGGGCGCGACGTCTCCCGCGTGATGTCCCCCAGGAGCCCTTCCTGCCAGATGTCACGCGGCGCGCGATGGACGCGTCGGCGGTCCCGGCGGCGTCCCCAGGAGACGGGCCCACATGAACAGTGGAGATTTTAGTCCTGGGGCGTGGACCTGGGACCCCAAGTACCTGCGCATCGTCAAACACCTCACCTACAAGCGGGAAGCAACGCGAAATCAAATCAGCAGTGTGAGCTTTCCCTTCCAATCGCACGACCGTACACGATGTGCCGATCCTCAGACGTCGGCAGCAGGCGGGAGCACTGCATCATTCAGCGGGCATTGCTCCTTCAAGCTCATGTCCTTTTGCTGCACCTCCTCTCCCAGTAGGCAGATGTTGGGGTGCGTCGTCAAGGCAACCTGTGGGCGTGGGGGGAGGGCCGCTCTTAAAAGGAGAGATCGTGAGCCTCTCGAGAAGCGGACCCCTAGTGCCCATCGTCGGCGGGGAACCTTCGGCGTCGCGCTCCAGACTCCTCGGTCGCGACTGCTTTTGTACAGAGCGGACTGTCGTGGATGCCCCATGGGAGCGCGCCTCGGAATCCAGACCGCGTGGGCGTGACATGGATATGTTCGCCGTTTTCGAATATATGTATATACATATATAGATATATACTTGTGTATAGTTGTATATAATGGCATTGGACATGGAACAGACGACATTATCGGGTTTCCTTGTACTGTGGTGTGTCAGTGCGCCAGCGATGCGGTGCTGACACCAGGGCGCAAAATTGTCGCGCGGGTGCTGGAACAAGGCCATGGCACTGTGGAACACTGTGGGGGCTGTGGAACTTGAGTGGCCAAATTATGCCGTGTGACGCACAACCTGCCCTCATTTCGGCGGAGAGGGTAAGAGAAGGGATGCGGGTGGGGCCGGCTTGACTTAGTGAACAATGCGGGGACCTCCGCGGCGTCCTGGAAGGCTTTCGCTCCTGGATGCACGACTTCCGAATAACAAGACACGGCCCCGTGAAGGCTGAAACGGAATGCCGCGCAAAACGCACGATGTCGTATTGACCTCGACAAACTGCTACTGCCGCAGGGTCTGCCACGGGAGAGGTCGGCAGTGGCGACGCACCCGACACCCCCACGCCCAAAACAACAAAACGCTGTGTGCCCATGCCTCCTCAAAATCCCCTTCGTATCATTATGATCATCGTTCTTGTTTCCTTCTCGCCAGAGGTCCTCCAGCGCGATGTTGGACGCGGAGCGGCCCATGAGACGGCAGAAGTGGTAATACTTCTGGGCGGACCTGAATCACGCCGGGTGTGGCTGGCCAGCGCAGCGGCGAGGGTCGGAAGCAAGGGGGGGCGGATGACGCCTCAGAGAGGAGGGGAAGGAGGAGGAGGATGAAGAGGAGGAGGGGGAGGAGGATGAGGACGAGAAGGAGGAGGAGGAGGAGGAAAAGGAGGAGGAGGAGGAGGAGGGAGGGAGGGAGGGAGGGAAATGAAGGCAGGGAGTGTGGGGTGGGGGAGGGAGGAGGAAAAGGAGGAGGAGGAGGAGGAGCAGGAGGAGGAAGTGGAGGAAGTGGAGGAGGAGGAGGAGGAGCAATAGAGAAATGGAGAGCAGAGAAGCGAAACCCGCACGAGAGGACTGCCTCACACGAGAATGTTGCCTCATCGCAAAAAAGGGGCCGCCATCTGCCCCCACGCGGGGAGACCTCCCTCCTCACGTGCAGGGGAAGCCGCTCGCTCACCGGCGAGTAGGCACGAAGGCCCAGGTGGCTCCAGCGTCACGGGCGTAACTGAGTGCCACGGACCCGGGCAAAGCGCCGCGGGGCGGGACCCAAAAAGACGAGCCGGTATGCTGACACCAGGCCGTGAAGCGCAAATGGCATTGTCAATGTCCCGCAGTGTAGGACCGAACACCAGGATACGGTAGGAGGAGGAGGATGAGGATGAAGAGGAGGAGGAGGAGGAGGAGGAGGAGGAGGAGGAGGAGGAGGAGGGAGGAGGAGAAGGAGGAGAAGGATGAGGAGGAGGAGGAGGAGGAGGAGGAGGAGGAGGAGGGGGAGGCATTCCCCTGTCTCCTCTTGAGCCGCGCGCCATGCCGTGGCGTGCGGCAGGCCTGTCTGGTGCCGCGACCTCCGATCGCCCTCCCGCTGGGCATGTGGCTTTGGGAAGACAGCGGGTCGAACGATTTCTGGAGGCGGTGAGCTAACGTAAGGCCCGCTCTCACCCGGGGCATGTGGCCTTGCTGTGGACTTGAGGCGACGGCGGGGCATCTGCAGCCCTGATTCACTGCAACCTCAGACGCAGGCTGCAAAGCGGTCAGCGGGTTTCGATTGGCGCAGCCGACGCCGAGGGGAAACACTTTAACCCATCACAACCTGCAACGTTGAAGTGGCTAAGATCGTGGTCCCTGGCTCCGCGATGGGAAAACATTGAAAAAATCAACACAGACTGTGTCGCTGTCAACATCTTCTTTGCCCGTTCTCCTGTTTTTGCCCCATCTGCATACGTAATCCCCTGGCGCGTCGACGCGCTCCAGGCCGTGCACAACCCACGCAGTTGTAAAAGCAATGGTTACAACATATCCTTCGCGAAGCGCTCCTCGAGCTCGGACTGTGCGGATGATGAAAGGGGGCACCCGAACTCGACAAGGATTATAATGGAAAACGCTATCAAGAGGAAATGCTCACGGCCCTCCAAGGTTGTGCGCTCGCGTCTCAAAAGTGTCGCCGATTGGCTTACGCGTTGCCGCACTCTGCAGCATTCCCTAAATCGCCACGTGCGGAGAGGCCACAGGAAGAACGTGATCGTGGGATCCATCTTTGTATGCATACTATAGCTTAGCCCCCGCAGGCGCAGATATGAGCGACCCCCCCCTGGAAAGCATCAAATCCCAAATCAAAGCGAAATTGAATTTCAAAAGCCCGCCGCAGGCGCCTAACTTTGTGCTTGAGCGAAACAGGGCTTCAATCACAAGCCAGCCGCGGGCGTGTTTCTCTTGGGGTCCAAAGCAAGCTAGCGCTGAATAGACACCACAGTCCGCCCGCATGGGCCGATCTGGGAATCCAGCTAACACGCAAACAGACATCGCAAGCCCGCCCCTGGCCTGAAAAAAAGCGCTCCTTCGCCGGCGCCAACGGCGCCGCAGTTGGGCCCCGCGGCGATGGGCCTCCACGACTGGACCGCCCACGGAACTGCTGGAGGCCTCCCAGATGGGGTCCGAGTGGACGGGGGAGGATCGCGCCGCATCGCCAAGGCATCGGCGACGTCGGCGATGCACTGGCGCCATCGGCGTGGCGAAAATCCGACTCCACATCGGCTATGCATCGTCGATGCATCGGCGATAGGGGCGCGAGCCTCCGACCCCATCTGCTCGGACCCTGCCTGGGAGGCCTAGAACTGTCTGCCCTCCCCGCCCCCTCCTTCCCCTCCTCCTCCTCCTCCTCCTCCTCCTCCTCCTCCTCCTCCTCCTCCTCCTCCTCCTCCTCCCCCACCCCCTCCTTCTGGACCCTGCCGAGCACTTCCCCCCCGGCCAGGAGAAGGAGTGGGAGGGCAAGACACAGGGCAGCCTCGACAAACTCAGGAGTCAACCAAAAAAGGCATCAGCTTACCAAAGAAGACGCACTGTGGGCCCCAGGGCCGCAACTCCAGCCGGCCTTGGCCTGAAAACTTCCACGAGTCTGCGGGCGAACTCCCCTGACCCAGGCATCGGGAGGGTCGCGCCGCGCAATTAGCGTCGCAACCCTGGGCGGGGAGGGAAGAGGGAGAAGATCAGCAAACCCGTGTGCGACTTGAAGCGGGTTCGCGCGAGCGGAACTCCCTCGGTCTTTTCATATTGCACCAGCAGTTTACCAATATGCGTGCGCCGCTCGTCGCCATGCTCGACAATTTGGCTCAAGGCCGTGTTCCTACCAGGTTCATTTTTTTATGAGGCGAAGGCGCGCAAGCTTCCACAACGGGTGGGCCTGTCTGAAGCTCCAGTTTGGCGGCTCTTGATTTGAACTG